TACAGCAGACGGCCCGTCTATCAGCCCTGCTCCAGGTGAGTGACAAAAACACTTTGATCTACAGCTGTGACTGACTACACACAATTACTAATATAGACCATACTTATACAACTACACATGAACATTCTAATACTACATACTGTACTAGTTGTTGTGTTGCAACATTTGAATATTTAATAATTACCAGCAGAAATGATACACAATGATCTATGAATGTGTGTGGGGGGGATTCATTTCATTTGTTCAGCCCACATTCACACATCAGTGCACTTTGAGAGTAGAATTAAAATCTTCCTAAAAACATACAACAGGAAACAGTGTTTTAACAATGGGGGAAACAATAACAAACAGGTGTGTGTGTGTGTGTGTGTGTGTGTTCTCTCCTCTAGTCTGGACCTGCAGTCTCTGAAGTATGTGTACGCTCTGATGTTTGCAGTGGAGGAGGTGAACAGTAACAACAGCCTACTCCCTGGGCTGACGCTGGGCTACCACATACTGGACAACTGTGGTCGGTACCCATGGGCTCTGCAGAACGCCGTGACACTGGTCACAGGAGAGGAGGACGGCTGCTCTCTTACTGCAGCTTCAGCTTCTACACCTGAAAACCAAACGGTAGACAAAGGTGACAGACACTCCACTTCATAACAATACAAATATATATATGTGTATGTGTGTATATAATAGACAGCGGGACCGTGTCTGATGTGATCAGCAGGTATTCTGCCCGCTCCATTGCTGATTGGTGGGTTCTCCTCATCCTCAGCTATCATGTTGTCCAGGATCCTCAGTCCTCTCTCTGTTCCCGTGGTGAGTGTCATGTGCCTGACAGCAGCTTCACTCATTAGACACCATGGTGATAGTGACTGTGTCTCTGGTGTCAGATCAGCTACATGGCCAGCTGCCCCTGCCTCAGTGACAGGACCAAGTTTCCCTTCTTCTTCAGAACCATGCCCAGTGACATCTTCCAGGCCCGAGCCCTGGCTCAGCTGGTCCTACAGTTCAGATGGACGTGGGTGGGAGTTGTTCTGCCCAACAGTGACTACGGTCATCTTATGGTCCAGGTGTGTGAAGGTTAAGGCTAATGTGTTTTAAAAGCACCATCTGCAAACAACAATTAGCCCCAAAACAACAATGAGCTAATTATAGAAAGAAAATGTTAGTTTAAGCTTTAGTTTAATTCAAGAATATTGCTAAAGATTAACTTAGAAAAGGCTAACATTTCACTAAAATCAAATGAAATTTAACGTTACACTACACACAGATCAAATTCAGTCACAAAACAGTAAATAATAAAATTAACTGTCCTAATATAAAGATTAAAAAAAACATTTGGATGTTGAGCTTGGTTTAGAAAAGAACAGTTTTAAGTTGACCTGAACCGTGGCCCAGACCTGCAGGAGAAGATCTTTACGTTTGTTTTATATTTCAGGCATTTAAGGAGGAACTCATTGGAAAAGGAGTTTGTCTGGCATTCACTGAGGTCATCAGCAGACAAACCATCAGCAGCGATGCTCCACGTGTTGCTCTGAAGATCAGAGACTCCACAGCCAGAGTGGTTCTGATCCTCTGCTGGTACACTGATGTCCACAAACTCTTCCTGGAGCTGAAGAACATCAATGTGAGGAGGCTGCAGTTTAAAGAACCTGCTCTCAGTAAAAGGACAAATGTCTTTGTATCTTCTAAGTTGTGTTTAGACAGTGACTCCTAGGCTCCTTTGATAACTCTCAGCAAAAATATAGCTAATAGCTCTACTATCTACCTTGTGGTCTTTCCTTTGGAGTCGTTTCAGTTTTGGCCACTTTTAGCGAATACATATTGTCAAACCAACTTAGAGCTGTAAACAGCAGCACAATTGTTTGTATAATGTTTGTAGGTTAATATTTTTAAATATAAGTTATTTGTAGGCCACCTCCTGGTATCTTCCACTGACATGTGCGCTGAGAAGACCACCTCTGGTCATTAGGATCATCTACTGACTCACCACATGTCAATGTTCCTCTTTATGCCCTGTTGACCTGCTGTACCTGCAGGTGACGGACAGACAGTTCCTGGCCAGTGAGGCCTGGAGCACCAGTCAAGCTCTTCTTCAAGATCCTGACATCTCATCAGTGGCTCAGGGGGTTCTGGGCGTGGCCATTAGAAGTTCACCGATACCTGGATTTGAAAAATACCTCAGAAGTTTGCACCCAATCACTCGTCCCAATGATGCCTTCCTAAGAGAATTCTGGAAACAGGAGTTTGGGTGCAGCATAGCTGCAGCTCCATCCACCAGCTCTCCCTCATCTCCATCTGAAAGCTTGGATCAAAATGTTCCACTACCTTCCTGCAGTGGCAATGAGTCCCTGCAGGGGAGGCAGCATCCCTTCACAGACACATCTCAATTAAGGGGGTCATATAATGTGTACCTGGCTGTTTACGCTGCCGCTCACGCACTCCACAGTCTTCTGTCCTGCCCTGGTGGAGACGATGACATCACTTCCTTCAGGAACTCAACCTGCTCCTCTCCAAAACACATTCAACCAGAACAGGTAAACAGCACCCCTTCCCTGTTTTTAGAGGGAACTGTCAATGACTTGAATTATTTCAATACGGTTGTTTTATTGAGTGTTGCAGTTCCATCTTGTTCCACCGGGGGCTAAATTGCAGCCAATAGGCTCGGGTTCACTGCCGTGGTTGGATCTTAACAAATCTGTGACCGGTGTTAGACTGTGACTTTTTTACTGCACCTTCATTTTTCTCCTTCGTTTCTCACTGTCAGCTGCTGCAGCACCTGAGCAGCGTCAACGTCTCCACACCACAGGGGGGCAGCTTTCATTTCCAGGGGGCTGATATTCCAGCAACATACGACCTGGTGAACTGGCAGAAGACTCCCGAAGGTTCTCTGGAACTGGTTTTGATCGGCCGTGTGGACGGACTGGACCTGAGCCTGAACGACTCAGTGGTGCAGTGGAGCTCAGGCTACAGTCAGGTAGACTGAGCTCAGCCCTAAAGTCATAAAACTCATTAGACCATGTGACTAAGACATTCTGTCTTAGGTCCCAGAGTCAGTGTGCAGCAAACCCTGTCCTCCTGGAACCAGGACAATGCCCAGGAAAGGAAAACAACTCTGCTGCTTCGACTGTGTGCCCTGTGCTGGAGGGGAAATCAGCAACGTGACTGGTGATCAAAACCTTCTCCCAACACTAACATCTGCCCTGGTTTGGTCTCATGTCCTGCTCCTTTTTGGTTCTCCTCCAGGTTCTCCTCACTGTAATCCTTGTCCTCCTGATTTCTGGTCCAATTCTGAAAGAACCGCCTGCATTCCTAAGGAGCTGGACTTCCTGTCCTTCAACGAGACCTTGGGCATCACCCTGACCACAGCAGCAGTGTCTGGTGCCACAGTGACCGCTGCAGTGTTGGTGGTTTTCCTTTACTACCATCAGACACCAGTGGTGAGGAACTTCAGGCTTGGACAATAAGGAGGCTTAACGAAAAAAAAACAACAACTACATATTGTTAACACAATTCAAGTCATTAAAATGTCAAATGAACCTGTGGTAGAGTTAGAGTCAGTGTTGAAGAGGTCAGGTTTGGTGTTTTTACCAGCAACAGCAACATATATATGATGAAAAAAAACCCCTTCAAAGTAGAACATGATCCTTCATTATATATCCAAAGACACATAATCCACAGAAAATTTACTTAGAATTAATTCAAACTCCATGGTTTACCACCATGTCCATAAATATAAAGTATCTTAAATGTTATAACAGAATTTGTCTGTTTGGTCTGAAGGTCCGAGCCAACAACTCTGAGCTGAGTTTCCTGTTCCTGGTTTCCCTGAAGTTCTGCTTCCTCTGCTCCTTGGTCTTCATCGGTCCTCCGTCTGTCTGGTCCTGTCGTTTCCAGCAGGCAGCGTTTGGGATTACCTTTGTCCTCAGCATTTCCTGTCTCTTGGTAAAAACCATGGTGGTTCTGGCAGCGTTTCGCTCAGCTCACCCTAGTGCTGCAGCAATGATGAGGTGGTTTGGACCTGCTCAGCAGAGGGCCAGTGTGTGCTTCTTCACCAGTATACAGGTCAGGGTCTCTTAAAGTCAGAACTTAGACCTAATTCTGCTTTTTCACTTTTGTCAAAGACAATGTTTTTCACTGAATTACTGTTGTACTAGAGACATAATAAATGTTTTAAGATTTCCATAAAGAAATGTTAAAAATAAAGCCATTCAAATGATCTGCTAACCCTGGTCTCTGAGCTAAAGTATTAAATCTAACTGAACAAACATTTTTACAAAAATCATTGTATTTACTGTACTGTAAATTAGAGACATAAGCTCTCACACATACTCACATCAGCCTTGAAAAGTCACACATTTGATATTATTTACAATACACCTGTTCACTTCATACACACCATTAACTTTTCTATAGTTTTGCACCACTATTTCATTACCTGAAAACACAGACACTAATAAAGAAAACGGAACACTGTGGCTCATTGGTCAAATGGCAACTTTAGCCACAAGACCCCAAAGGTGCCCTTGGAGTGCCTGTCATCATGTGCTCTAATCTCTGCCATCAGGAGTTACAGAAAAAAAATGTATGGAGGAAATTAACGCCTAATTAAAAAGTCAATAGTACACTACTGGAATCCAATGGTTCTCTTTGACTATGATATAATTTCACATTTATATATTGAGAAAAACATTATCTCTTTTTAGGGACGGTTTTGTTTCATTTTTCTGACAGTGTGGTAGTTCTTACCTAACCGTTTTTTTAATCAAACTATTGGCTAACATTAAGCTAACATCTAAATCCTTTGCGTTTGTTTATTACTTTAAAACTTTAGTCTCAACACATTTGAAGCGTTATTATTAAGCTGGTGTGTTTGTGCTTGTTGAAGGTGCTCATCTGTACTGTTTGGCTAGCACTCACCCCCCCCGAGCCTCACCTGGACCTGGACTTTCGCGGAGCAAAAGTGACCTTTACGTGTGTCATGGTGTCGGTGCTGGGCTTCTCGCTGGTTCTGGGCTACATTGGACTTCTCGCCTGCTCCTGCCTCCTTCTGGCTTTTCTGGCTCGGAAACTCCCGGACAATTTCAACGAGGCTCGACTGATCACCTTCAGTATGTTGATCTTCTGTGCCGTCTGGGTGGCTTTTGTACCTGCCTACGTCAGCTCACCGGGGAAGTATGTGGTGGCTGTGGAGGTCTTCGCCATCCTGGCCTCCAGTTACGGTTTACTCTTCTGTATCTTCGCTCCAAAATGCTTTATTATCCTGCTGAGACCGGAGAAAAACAGCAGGAGGCACTTGATGTCTAAGTAGAACTTTGCTATACAGGTCAGTACCTGGGATTAATAAAACCTGGGATTAATAATCTGTACCGGTTTATTGTATGTTACATATATGTATGCATGTGTGTGTGTATATATATATATACACTCAAAACAACTTTAGATAACAATAATAATAATAGCAGTAATATTACTACTACTAAATTGTTTATACATATTCAGTACTGTACCATCAAGGTCAACAAAGCCTTCTCTGTTGGCCTAAACAATATCAGAACTCGTTTTTCAATATATTTACCTCAAATTATTATAAAATGTAAGTATAAGTGAAATAAAACAGCAAAAGTAATATAAAAGTATTCTGTTCTATTCATTCATTCTGGCTCTGTGTTTTTCTCTGACTGGGCTGCTTCCAGTTATCTAGGAAATAATGACTACATCTCAAGTAACAAAACCCTTTCTGTCTTCAACAAATTACCTTGACAGAATAATTACAATTACAACACATTTTTACATCCTACAGTACGATAATACTTTCAAGTATTTTAATTACAATATAGGACTTCTCTACTTACCCCTCCCTGACAAACATCTGGACATTGTGACTCTTTAGTTGTTTTAATGTTTATGTTCAGAACTCTAACAAGTTGTCTGTTTTGTCAGGGTTTGAACTGTAACTGGATCAGAGAAAAAAACAGTACGGTGAAAAAGAGAGTGATTTTTATGTGATCTGACTTGCAGAGTAAAAATGGAACATTCTCAACTTCATTATTCTCAACTTCATGTATCAAAAAATATTTTAAATAATAAACAAGGAAAACTTAAAATTTAATTTAAAAAATACTTTTTGAGTTTAAAAAAAGGTTTTGAGTCAGATACTTGCTCACCCAAGATCAGAAACATTATGGAAAGTTTCAGTAGTAGAAAAAAAACAGACAGACCAAAGGGTTAGTCTGAGAACAATCACAATTCAAAAAAGAACAAGAAAACATTTGAGGTGGAATCTGTTGGAGACCTGAGGTGAGTGATGCTCTTCTACTGCCACGTTTTAGCTTCACCAACTGAAATGAAGGAAAAAAGTTTTCAATTTTAGAACCAGCAGCAGAAGAAGTGACAGAGGTTTAACAGCTACAACAGAAAAAAACACAAAAAACCCACATAAAACCTTCAATAATTAGTAAAACGTTTTCTTTGTTAAAATTAAAATAATAAATTATCTAAAGAGGATGAGCTTCAATGGTTTGTGTCATATTTAAAATGCAAGTCACATCTGAAACATAATAATGTCATGTGACATAATTATGTTTTTTTCTGCTGTAGCTATGAACCATTCCTTCAGACCACGTCCATTCCCAGGCCTCGAGCCACTTCAGTCAGAGCCTGAACGGCTCCAGAGGTGGCGCTGGGGTCACAGCTGTCCTGAGATAATGTGACTGTGTCAGACGTGCAGTCGTCCATGTCAGCGATGTTTGGAATGTTGTTCATAACGCAATAGACTGGAGAGTCACTGCCATCTCCCCCTGGTGGACTGAGCTGAGATGACTCCTCATATTCCTCTGAGGAGCAAGAGGAGGAGCCAGAGGGGGAGGAGCCAGATGGAGAGGAGGTTGAGGCTGCAGGAGAACTCTGTGATGTCACCACAGCAGATGATGGCCCCGACCCTGCCGAGCTGCCACTCCGTCCACTGCTGCGGAGACTCTGTCTTTTCTTCTTCACCATGTTCTTCATGATCTGCTTTGTTACTTCCACAGTTTCAAAACGAACCATGTTGACTTTCAGGAAGCCGTCCACGTCCTTCCTGTACCTGAGCAACAACAGACAGGAAGATGGGGTGAAGAGGAAGTGACACCCAGGGAACAAGACACATATACACACTACATTTGGCTAACAACTAGCTTCTGTGTTTACTTTTGCTGTGTGCTTTCATTTAGCTGTGATTTTGGCTAACTCTTAGCTTAGCTTCTACATCTTGGACTTGCCTTCATGGAGATTTCAGGACAATATTTAAATATTTTAAACTGTTGAGGTAAATTGTTAATTAACTAACAGGGCTAAACTTGTGCTGTTATTTGACTAGCCTACTGAGCTAAGGTTCAGTTGTCTGTGGACACCACTGGTAAAACACCTCAGTAATACACGAGACATATACAAGGTCACATTTTGGTGCTGATATGAGTGACCTCTGACCTGAAGCGCGAGTGCCCTGACGGCCACTTGAGTTCGTGTTTCTTTCTCAGGTGCAGCGTCAGAGTGTAACACCAGGAGAAGACTTTATCACATAGGTGACATTTGTACTTAGACGACCCTCCATCCTGGACACATGCACATACATACACAGAGACAGAGGAGGCTCATTAACCAGTTAGGTGCTGTATACAAATGTGTGGTTCTGTGTATGTGTGTTTAACTCACCTCGTGCACTCTCTTAAAGTGTTGAGTCATGGTTTGAAAAGTGTGACAGGAGTAAGTGCAGCCGTCAACTGTGCAGCGATAAACAGTTCCCTGGTTGTGAACCTCGGTGTGTTTCTGTAGATCACGCTGGTTTTTAAACCTGCTTCAAAAACAACACATCACAACAATAAAGCTATAGTTTTTGCCTAACAGCTTACATCAAGTTCTTTATTGGTTTTAGCTGGGCATCGGCTTAATTTAGTTTTGCTTTAGCCAAGTTCATTATGTTCAGTTTAGCTAACCATTAGCTACTTTTGTTGTTTTAGCAAAATATGTGACTGTATTTAGATTAGAATAGCTTTTTTAATCATGATCTTTTTGGCAAATGTTTAAACACTCATCAACTAAGGTTTGGTTTGTTTGATATTGACCAAATTTAAACTATTTCTATTTTAACTTATAAATTATTTTCAGTTTTATTGAACTTTTTTTAATTGAGCCACATTTAAAAAATACTCAGTTATTTGTCTTTGTAAGAATTGACCTTTTGTCACAGAAGTCACAGGGGAACGGACGCTCGTCACAGTGACGGAACCGAATGTGGATTTTCAGAGCAGCCAGGGTCGTACAGGTCATATCACAGAACGGACACTTCACCTGGTTCACTAAGAGAAGGAGACAGAACCAGGAGAGAATAAGATAATAGTTGGGTTTTCTTAGCACTGACAGACACCAGAGCTAATGTTAGCAAATGTTAATGTCACTGCACTGTTGGACCACAAACATCACATCAGTATCTATTATAACCACAGTATCTTCAACTACTTTTGTTGTGACAATAACAAATACAACTGATTTAACTAGTCAAGTTAATATTTTTATATCTGTACTGAGGGACTGTAAAAAAGTCAATATTGTACTGACATTTTAATCAATAAGTAGTGATTTTACAAATGTTAAAGTGTTCATTCTTACCGTGCTGTCTAACGTGGTCTCTCAGGAGCCTCTCAGTGGAGAAAGCTTTGCCACAGTGATCACACACCAGCGACTCTGTGTGGTTTTTGTTGTTAAAACAGAATTTGTTCTTTTAAAAATTAGTTTAATTGTAACTCTTATGTGCAGAAACAGCGATGTTCTCTGACGTTCTCTTACCCACAGGTTCTGCCTGACGCTGCAGGTGGTCAAACAGTTTAGTGTTGCTGGAGAACATTCCTCCACAGGTGGGACAGGCCACTAGTCTCTCCTGAGTGTGGCTGCGAATGTGCTCCCTCAGTCGGTACCGAATCTTAAAGAATGTGTCACAGCCTGCAGGCGGAGACAAGAACACATTGCAAGATCAACACGTGAACAAGAAAAGGTTCTAGGTTAGAGTGAAAGCCGAGTTCTTCTCAGTCCTTGATGTAAATGGATCCTGAAGTTCTACCTGACCACTGGCAAAATAATGCCGACTGCTGCTGCTGTGGCAGAGACTGAGATTCAGCACTTTCTACATGATTGTCCACATGTCTGTAGAACCATTCTGGGTTGTTGAACACACTCTGTGTAGAAGACAATACATTTAACAGCTAGAACAAAATGTTGAAGTAAAAACAACCCAAAATGCTTGTGCTGAGTTTTTGTTGAAGACCTACGTCACATTGTTCCCACTGGCAGACGTATCCGTCAAATCCTTCAGGAAGAAGGTTGATGCTGTTTACGCCCTGAGTGCAGCTGGGAAGATCAGAACGTGAGCGGAGCAGCTGTGATCCCATAAACTTCAGTTTTTCATGAAAATTGTGGAAGTAGGCGTGAACTTCTAGTTCTGCTGGAATTCCCATGGACACAAACTCACACCCTTTCCACAAACAGGAATACTCGTCTGAAGGAGGACAGACAGATGAGACAAATATTTAAATATATAGCCATATATACCAGGACTGTAGTGGCAAATGAAGAGCTCTGGTGTCTGCACCTACAGCAACATGTTGTACATTAAGCTGATATTGTAAATTTAAAAAGGTGATATGGTCAACATCTGGTGAATTACTGCCAGGGGAGTGCTACCGGTGTGACAGATATTATAGAACTAAGAAAAGTGTGATTCATCAATTATTAACTCAAACCTAAGGCAGTAATGTGACAGACTTTAAACCTGTAACTGTTGTATTCATTGTGAAACACTTTGGTTCTTTAGGTTATTGCAATGGGCTATATAAAATGTGATTGATAGAACCAAGCTTACACAACTAAAACTGCTAACATAGCTAAGCTAACATTTCAAACATAAAGCCAAAGAAATATTTATCCTTTACATAATCATAAATGGCTTACTACCAGAATAACCCGGTCTTACATGGAAACTGAAATAAACACAGAGTAATGAGGATGTAAGCGCCCGTCTGTTTTTACTCACCCAGTTCCTCCAGAGCATCTCCATCTCCCAGGTAGTCCTTCAAATGCAGAGACATGTGGTCGCTCAGCTCTTCCATGGTGCAGCCCCTGAACTCACAGGACGCCCATTCACAGGTCACCTGAAAGTGGTCCAGTCTTTTGGTGGCCATCATGACGGAGAACACAGAGGAGCCTGCAGGAAGGAGAGAGTTGACAGAAACACGAGGGTTCTGCTGCTGTCAAACTTCTACCAAAGATTTATCAGTGTTGTTCTGCATTATTATTCTAGATTGTTCTTCCACACAGATGAATTCTGACCAGTCCAAGTTCTTGCTAAACATCTTCTGGACTGGTGACAATTATATGTTGTCCAGACTGGTTACATTATTAGAAAATTGCCACCCTTTTGTTAACAATAAGAATTGTATTTGACTTTTCTTTGCTTAATAAGTAGATTAATGGGTAAACAATTGCCGTTATCGGTTAATTCTATTTGTTTAGGTATATCTACCTGACAACAGAATAGCAAACGATTAATTGTCCATCACATTAGTTAATTTATTGAATAGTTTATTAACATCAGAGCTGACTTTACTCTTTGTCGTCACTTTTAGTTTTACTCACGAACAACGACGTCTCACGGTTTTACAAAAATGACTGCTTCTTATTACAAATATTCACTACATCTCATTGTGGTCGATGGCATTCGTGTTCGCTTCATGTTTACAATCTGGGTCTAGATACGTGGACAAAAACGTTTTTCTTACCTTTTGACCTGTTTATTCTCCTCTTCTATCTTCTCTTCTTTTCCTCCTCTTTTCCCTCCTTCAGCTTTGTTTACTTCCGCCCCCTCTCTTCTTCGTCTATTCCTTTACAGTTCAACAGTTGGACATAGACCATACTGCCTCTTGTAGTATCACTGTGTATTACAACTGGACAAGCTCGGTAATGGAAGTTCCCTCTGTTGTCGAGGAACTGAAGACAGATCTTTTCTTGTCACCAGTCTACACTACACTGGTCAGACATGCTGAGGTTCGTGGTTAGAGTTGTGGTTGTTGTTGTTCTTGTTGTACCAACACACTATTTGGATATTGTTTTATATATATATAGTTTAAATTGGTTGGCTCTCACACAAATAACTTTATTTGGGTTTCTTTTGAAACATAAATCAATTAGTCAAATAATTATTATCTTATTTGACTCTGTCTTTCAAACCTGCAGATTTGTCAGTCAGTTCTGAGTGAAAGTCTTTTATTTGGATTAATTTTATTTCACATTTCCAGCAGCACAGCTCAGAGGAGGAGGAGGGAGTAAACATTAGATGTGAACAAAACACTGCTTCTGTTAAAGTGTATTTTAAACATTCACTTGTTACATCAGTTACATCAGTTCCACCTGTTTGGTTCCGTTCTTAAACAAACTTGAATCATTTTCCAGTTACTTAAATGAGTTAACCAGTTACTGGATTTTACAAACAATCCCCAGAACTCAATAAGAGAACACAACTCATTTATATAAACTTCTCCTTCATTATAATCCCAACCATCCCATCATCTACTCACTGGTTTACAGCCAGTAATTAACATTGAATTAAATCTAGTGGTTCTGGTTCTACTCTGTTTGCCTGTTTAATCAGTGAATCTGCAGTGAATGTGTTTGTGAGTGAAGCCAAAAGAACGCTGAAAAGTTCCTTAACAAGATATTGTACCTACAACTACTACAGGGACAAGAACTTGAAACTTGGGATAGAACCAAACGTAGAACTGGTACCGAGTACCAAGTGCTTTTCTGTTATTTAAAGTAAATGCAGAGAACCAGAAGATACTTTGAAAACATTTCCACCCTGGGAGTTAAAATTGTATTGGGCTGCCTCCCTGTGGTTGGGAACCAAAAGTTCTATACTGGCTAAAAGTCCAGCAGCCCTGCAGCCCTGCAGAGTTAGGGTCCGTGACCCAGATGTTTTTTCTCTTTTCTCACATACAGTTTTCTCTTGTTGACATTGATCTTCCGCTTCTCTACATTTGATTTGAATATGTAAAAAGAAAAACAAGGAGAGAGATCAAAGGTAGACATTCAGTACCAGGAACAAAATTCAAACTGTGACTGTTTTTTTTTTTTTTACCCCCAAATCAGTTCCTGTTTCAGAGGTAGGACCATCAGGGAGCACAGGAACTCTGTTGGTAGAACCTGAAGGACTGTTTTCACACAAGTGATCGGTATCGTTACAATGGGATGTAGACCACAAGAGGACATGAACTATTTAGATCTTTAAAGATGGTTCCTGGCGTTCCTTGCTGGAACCCTGGCTCTAGCTATTGTGACTATTCTTGGTGATGCCTTCATTGCCTGTAAAAAAGTGTCTTTTATTTATGCTCATGCATCAAACACAACTGCCACGTCTTCAGCTCAGCCGTGTTTTTCTGATTCTACTCTACCTCGAACACCGACCTCAAACATGCACTTATTTTACAGCTTTCTTCAACCAAAGTGAATACACCAGGAGTGATCCTGAACCACTGAATGACACCAGCACCGGGGATGAACTGAAGCACTGAAACCAAGATTTAGGATCCGGCTTCTCTTAAAGGTCCAGTGTGTAAAGTTTTGGATGGTTCACAAATCACTACCCATAAGTCCTTTGGTTCAGTGTATGAAACCAACACTGTCTAGATTGACATTTTTTGCTGCTCTGGTTCCACAGCAGCTCAGAGAGAAAAGAACCTTTACATTCAAGTTGCAAGGAAAAAGAAAAAAGAATCACAATGGAAAAGTCACAGCCGGTCCAGGGTTGTCTGGAACCAATTAGTCATCTGACAGACAATAACAGAGGCCTGTCAAATAAGGGGTTTGTCATCATCTGCATTGTCACCACTGGATGTCACTAAATCTTACTCACTCAGTGTTTATCACAAACACATACATAAATCATGTGCAAATCAAGTGCTCAATGAAAACGCTTCTCTGTACAATATAGAGTACAGTCGTCACACACATGTGCACACACACACACACACACACGTTAAATTAGTTGCATTAAGTAATTTGCATAAACACGGACTGTGAAAACTAAAATGAGCAGCAGGTGAGGAAAGAAACAGCAAAGAGAAGGTTCACCTGAAGAAATGTCCACACTGCATCACCATCATTATCATCATCATCATCATCATCACCATCATCATTTCTACCATCTACCTGTGATAATTCTCAGTTGATCATGTTTATTTTTTTAACAACAAATGATGCTCAGATGGTCATGAGATGATGATCAGACAGTCATCTCATCAGATGGTCATCAGATGGTCACGAGTGCAGCCTGAAGACCTCCTCAGTGGTGAACGTTCTTCGTTAGCTGAAGCTCTTAGTAAAAGCTGCAGAGGTTTTTTTTACATTTCACTGCTTTGCTTCAGCCAGTCTGTTGCTGATCTCTTTGCTCTTCTTGGTGACTCCACTCTCGGGTGGTGCCTCGGCAGCCGTCACAGCAGGGGAAGGAGCGGCAAGATCATGAGGAGGTTTCTTCTTGGCCGACTGGAGGCCAGCGATTTGCTTCTCTTTGGTTTTTCTCATCGTCTTTCCTGTGGAGGTGGTGGCAGTCTTTTTGGGTTTGCTGTGAGGAGGTGTTTTTTCAGTCTGAGGGAGAGAAGAGACAAGGGTGAGACTGTGTGAGACTCCAGCCTCTGAGGGAGGGTGGAGATGAGTGGATTGTATTGGTGATGAAGAGTAGGTGAAGACAGCAGAGGGTTCAGATTAAGCCAGATTTGTTTATTTTCCTGTTGGAACAAACAGATCCGCGGTTGATGTTAAACAGTGAAGTTTGACAGTCAGGATTAAAACGTGAGAAGCTTCTCCTCAGCTCTATTTGGTCGCGTCTATGTTTACCTATCATTGGTGCATTTTTGCTGACATTGTTATTTTCATATATGTTATATATGTTTTTTAGATATATTATATATATATATATATATACTGTAAACTGGTACATCATTTTGCCCAGTGTTAATACAGTAGTTTTTTTACTGCATCTTTCACTTTTTACCCTTTGGTTTTTCTAGTCTATGACTATGTTTCCTTATTATTACATTACCACCTTTAACTATGTTCAACTTTCTTTCAGAATTTTTGATCTTTTGAACTTTTTTTACATTTTGTAGCTATCTTTGGATTAAACTGTTTGATAGCCAGGTCTCAGGTTTTAATCCCAGTGGTTAGTACTGAAATGTTGGAGTCGAGGTGAACGTGCCTTTGTGCAGAGTTCTACCAGGATCTAGCTTTGTGAAGGAACATACTGTATGTGCTGCTGTGAAACAGTTCCATCCAGGATGAACTGAGGCGCTGAGTGCGGTGTTCCAAAGGCCTCTCTTGTCTTTAATGTGAGATGACATGGTGTTGGCAGTGAGGTCAGGGTTACGCTGATGTGTGTGTGTGTGTGTGTGTGTGTGTGTGTGTGTGTGTGTGCATATATGCCTCAGCTCATGCCTTTAAGAAGAAGAAGAACCAAGAAACACAAACCTGACTACAGTTGGTTCTCAGTCTCTGACACGCCCTACAATGACAGAGGGCGGGGCCACGTCAGCACAACATTAAAACAGCTGGTGATGCTGAAATCAGGAGGGTCAACAGAAGGGGCGGGGGTGAGGGGAGCAAAGTTTGGGAGCAAAGAGTATTCGTCACAGTATAAGGAGCAGGAGGAGGTGCAGTCTTAGTGGAGCGCTGAGCAGATTTGGTTTGTTGTTGAAGGAGAACTAATGGTTTGAGAACCACTGGTTTGATAAAACATTTCTGGGCTAAGGTGTCTGTTTTCCTGACTGTTGTTGTGGTTTCAGCTCCATCACTGCTGACTCTGGGACAGTGAGATCTACAGGACCCTGGTTGGACACTTGTTACTGAGAAACAAAGGACCGAAGCAGGGATTCTGAACTTGTTCTCAGCTCTGACATATGAAACAACATGAGTTAAATCTGAACGGAAACACCAATAAAATGATTGTTGACGTTAGGTTAGTGAACATGCACAGTCACGCTCACACTCTCTCTGACCTTGACCTTGGCCTCTTTGCTGGGTTCACTGTAGAGGCTGCGGATTCTCCTGCGCTCCAGCAGCTTGTTGTCAGCGGGGTTGGCCTTCACCTGCTCTCCCCTGAAGGTGGCGCTGTAGCTGGTCTCCAGATTGGTCTCTTCCTTAGGGGGTTTGTACTGAGATGGAGCCTTGATGGGTTTTACAGGCTTCACATCCTTGTAGGCCTTGAACTCAGTCCTGGAAAAAGAAGGTTTGGAGGGGTTTGAAATGTTTACATGTGGGATCCTAAATGTAGCTGTGTGAAGTTCTTATAAGTTCTAAATTTTAATTTAAAACAGTGAAATCACATTTTTTTATTTTGTAATTATTTAGTAGTTGACCAATAGTTGCTTATTGGTCATTTTTGTCAAATATTTCAGAGCTAAATGATCAAATTTAAGTTACCAATGACCTTTTAACACAGTGTTATGTGATTTTTTTTATATATAAATTCAGTTTTATTTTTACCTTCATCCCCCACTAAACCACAGCTTTGGTCAATATTTGACTATTATATAATATATTATAAATATTATATATATGAAGTATTTGTTTCTGAACAGTGACAGTTTTTTTTACATGTTGTTGTTAAATTACCTTTAATTTCCTTTAGCTGTTCCTATTTAGTGCTTAATGCTAAATGTTTAGTTTATTTCTTTAGTTACGTCCAGATTAGAGAAAAACTAAGATATTTTATCATTACTTGTGTCTAATTAAGACATTTTTTTGAATACATTGATAATGTCATTGTTATGTACCAGTGCAGTTCAAATGATCTTTCTGACATTTATCAAGAACTAATATTGTTTTATTTGACTGTGGTTCAGGGCTGAGCTGCTTTAATTCTTCTCAGCTCTGACCAGACAAAGAAAAAGAGAAAAAATCAATAATGAAACGTTTATCTGTGAGGAAATATTAGTTTACTGCAGGCGACGAAGGAGGAGCTGAGGAAATGTTAGAGGAAATGATGAGTGAATGATGTTCAACATATGGTCACAACTTCATCAGCAAAAACTGCATATACTAAGACAGTTTTATAAGAAGTTAAAAATCCAACTAAAACTGACCTTAAAAGTTGCTAAAACATGCTAACACTTATTTACCTAAAGAAACAAAGAGTTCTGTAAAACAGAGCTGTTAGAACCTGGCTGTTTCCTGATGAAGTGCTGATGACGTTGTACCCTCTCACCTGTAGCTGGAAGACTCGATCACCTTCTTGATCTGCTTGTTCAAGGCATCAGCAACTGCTCGGTCTCTGCTCTGCTCCTCCTTCTCCTTCTTCAAACTCCTCTTCAGCACCACCTCCTCCTTCTTCTCATTCTCCTCCGCCTCCACTTTCTTCTCTTTCATCTTCTTCGTCTGCTTCTCGACTTCGTCCTTCTTCGTCTCCTTGTTTTCCTCCCTCATCTCTTTTTCCGCCTTCAGTTCCTTCTTTTCCTTCACCTCCTCCTTCTCCTTTACCTTCTCCTCCCTGACGCTCTTTTCCACGCCGCTTTCTCCTTCTCTGCGGATCCACGGGTGGTCGTATTTCCTGGGTAAAGGCCACGCCTTGTAATCCTTCTGGTACTGGGTCACGTCGTTGAAAGGTCCGCTAGTGGGTCGGTACGCGTCTCTGGGTTTGCAGCTTGGTTCAGGTCGAACTCTCCAGGCCCTGAAGTCCTGACGCATGACGGACGCGGCAGAGCCATGTTTGGCCGCAGCGGCACCGCCCGCGACGGCCGCCTTCTCCTCCTGCTGCCCTTCCTCTCCTCCACTGAGATGCTGAGGCTGCGTCTCTATGGCAACGGCCGCGGCCCTCTGCTGATGGAGCAGATGCTGCGCGTCCACATCTGAGTATCTGCTGAAAACCAACGGAACCGCGATGTCCGCTTTGTCCAGGTCCGCCCAGAAGCGGTTGATGCAGCAGGCTCGCGTGATGCACGGCCACGCCATGGTGAAGATGACGAAGAGGAGGAAGAGGAGTAGAAACTGAAGCACAGAAGCAAAAAAGTCCTGGTCCTGGTCCTGGCTCTGGTCCTGGCTCTGGTCAGGATCTGCGGATTTTCAGCTGCAGAGGTTTGGACTCAGATTTGTTAGATTAATAAGATTCTGGTTCTGCTCAGACTCAACATCACCAGCATAGACCGACACTCCTCCTATCAACTCCTCTTCCTCTCTTTACTCCTCCCCCTCCTACCCTGAACAGGGCCGAACACAGAAACTCTGTGGGATGTAAGAACACCCCCGCCCCCCAAGACAAAACACAATACGAGTGCTGCAAGTACAGTGGAAGCGGACTTGGGTCCAGAAGGTTTCAGGTTCGAGTCCATCAGCTGCCAAATTACCACTTAAGATGCTCCCTGTTCACTTTGGTGATGGGTTAAATGCAGGTAACATGAAGGAGACTGAAATAGAGTGAAGGAGTGAGAGGAATTGAACCCATAGATCCCTGACCCTACAGTGATCTCTGGAGCTCAGACGAAGAAACTGCAGAAAAGGAAAGCGAGTGCACCTGCAGTGCGAGTGGAGTCCAGATCGTAGTACTACTTCATTGTACAGTGTGTGATGAATAGTCTAATAATCACATTAGTAATTCATTCTGGTTCAGACTGGTGGGACTGGGAGAGGGACAGGTGTTTTCAGGTGGTTAGTAGGAGAGTACATAGACCAAACAGTAAATGTAATTTTTCCTAAAAGATAAATTAAAGTATTGTTTGATTTACAGGTAATTTTATTGTTGATAAAAATTCTTGAACAAAACGCTTTTCCCCACATTTTAAAAATTGAATTAACTAACAGTCAAATATAAAGAAAAAAATATAAATTCATCGGCAAAACAGATCACATGATCTAGATGAAACAACCACAAGTGTTTGCCCAGAGTGGTGTAACACTCCCTCCTGTGGTGCCTCTCAGTCACTGCAAAGGCGTTTATGGGTATCAAGCCATAACTTCAACATTCACAGACACACACACACAGGACAAAGAAATGTTTTCTGATACATAAAATATTTATTTAAAAAAACAAATGTAAAAATATTTACAGCTCAGTTCTGTGACAGGTTCTGCAAAATAACCCAGTGTGACTGTAAGACGAGGCTTAGAAGGCAAACAGCTTTGTGCTTCACCTCACACACACACTACCCACCCCCTCACAACACAGTCCTCCATCAGTTTTTATATTTTGGGAGCGAATCAAAAATGATCATTTACAATGCCACAGTACTGCACCATCAGCTGGGACCTTTTTTCCCACACCTTGATTTTATCAACCTTCACACTGTTTATTAACACTTATGCTGCCTCACTGCCACAAGTGGTACATGTACCATAGAACCACCATCTTCCAGGACTATGGTCTGTTTTCTTCCAGTTCCTCCTCATTTCTTGTCCTTATCCAGCACAACATACTTTTACCACAGTAACAGCCAATGTTCATTCGACTAGCTGAGTCTTTGTAAACCAATCATTTATTCAGTCTTTAACCTAAACCCTCAGTTTGTGTGAGATCGACTCTTTGACACCAAACCTCATAGTGAAATCCAGTGATTCTAGCCTCCAGAAACACAGCAGTTGTTGATCCACTCCTGCCTCCATCAAAATGTATTCAAGTTCAAATGTGTTTTTGTGACATCACTGATTGAAATCTATCGATTTAAGATCAGATTGAACTCAGTAACAGAAACTGACCACAGGAGGCAGCAGTGGAGCAGCAGCCAAAATCAATGATTTTCTCTATGGACCTAAATTCACTAAAATTCTCTATGGACCTTGGTGTCAAGGAGTGAGTGTTTCTAAACATCAGTTTCTTGGTAGAGGAGTAGACTGAGGCTGAAATTATTTGCCATTTGTGAAATGACCAAATCATTTCCCCCTTCTCTGTTTTGGAATTACTTCGCAGCAGCCTCCTCCTCAGTCGTCTCCTCAGCCTCCGGCTCATCCTCAGAATAAAGTCTGCAGTATTTGTCAACCATGACATCCAGGTCATGTTTGACATGGGTGTTGATACTGAGCATGGCAAGACTTTTGTTGCGCAGCTGCACTGGTGTGTTGGCGAGATACGCCTGCAGCCGCTGATTGGCCGAGTTCCCGTCCTTGTCTTCTAGTTGGAGCACAGGTAATGTGGAGAGGACCTTCAGGAAGGAGTTCACGTTGGGAAAGAACTTGACATCAGGCAACTGTAGGGTCTCATGAATGGTGGTCGGCAGTCGCACCTCTTTGCCCCGATGCTTCCACTTGATCCTCCAGCAGTGCAGCTCGGCAGGAAGCGTGTCCGGGTTGGGCAGATCGCCACGGTAAACCTCTGCGTGGTTCTCCTCATTGGTGTTGAACTTCATCTGACCCATGATGGCTGGGACCAGGGACAGGCATTTAAGAGCTTTGAGGTTGGTGTCTGAGAACATGTCTTCCACCTCCTGCATGACTCCACGGATAACAGGAATGGTCACGTACTCCTTAAAATAGGCTTCTGTCTGGATCTCATCCATGTCTGCCACCTGCTGCTTACGGAGGAACAGTCTGGGCAGTTTCACAGGAATCTCCATGACAGTAGCCACACTCATGGCCTCCTCGTACCAGAACTCGTGATAGACGTCGATGTTGTCGTTGACCTCGTTGAGGGAATGCAAGACAGCAGTGAGACTGTTGGCAGCAAAGAACACGTCAAGTGTTTCTTTTTGGAGATTTCTCCCAAAGGCCCTGGTGAAGGTGAGGACGTTTTTTAAAATAACAATGGTGACGATAATCTCAAAGTCAGCGAGAATTTCTGCGATGCTGTATGCGTCTGCTGAGACAGTGTTGTTAAACTTTCCTTCGTTATTGGTCCAGATAACGTCCATGCAGAGAATCAGGGGCATGAACAGATCCAGAAGAACGTCAAAGACATCGTGGCGCTCCGTCCACCCTGCTGCACAGGCTTGTTTTAGAACTGCAGCCTTCTCTTCATTCTTCTGGTGATGGGTAGCAATGGAAGCCTCAAGTTCATACTGAGTGGAGTGGGTTCTGAAGAGGTTACCAATTCTTCTCAGTGTCTCCATGATGACCTGGACATTAGGATAAGGTAGACTGTTGGCTAGGTGGACATTCAGAGCTGTGTGGGAGCAGGGCATGTTCAGAGCCAGAGGGTACTTCTCCATCAGTAATACTGCCACAGCTTTCATCTTGGTGGTGGAGGAACCACTGGCCTGGTGGGCCTGACCACGGCAGTCTTCCATACTCAAACCCCAACGATCTGTGAGCTGGGCCTCTAGTCTTTCCACCAGTGACGGCTCGTCAACATCAAACAACACAAAATCTACAAACTCCTCCCGAAGGACATTCTGCTGATTTACAAAGCGGACAAACAGAGGGAGGTATCTTTCACCGGAAAACTCCAGGAGGTTGCCTGTCACCAGAGAGAAAAATCGACTCTCCCTTACTTCCAGGAGCATCTCCTCCCTGACTGTGTTCTCACAGACGTCCAGCAGCTGGTTCTGTTGCTCATGGCTCAAGTATTTGGTGTTCACAGCAGTCGCCTCGAACCGTTTTCTCAGAGCTTCATCTCCGACGCTGATGCGATACTCCAGCAGAGTCTGGAAGTTGTCGGACCCGTTCTCAGTTGCAGTTAAAGGGATGCACTGTTTTGCAGACATGACAACCACCTCAAACAAAGACCTCAGATATTCTCGAAACTCTCTGTCCTCAGTGGAGAGCTGAGGTTCGTCCTCGGTGGCGTTGGTTGAGTCTTCGCCTGACAAATCTTTTTTGGCAACGAGCTGGTCAATGGAAGATGCCACTGGGTAGAGACAGAGGAGGAAAAAGGCACCACCTATTTTTAAGCTGTTCAGCACTGATGAACATATATAAATATATATTAACTTACATCTTCTCTCCTTCATTTTTCTTATGTCTTCTTCAGTCTAAAATAAAAAAATGTTTTAGTTAATTTTCAATAATAAATCAAGACTTGGTCAAAGCGTGAGAATTGGAGAATTGGAATAAATATTGGAGTAGACATTGGTGAAAAGATTGGTGGCAAATGATGCTCAATGTAGATTTTTAAAGATAACATGGTGCCCCTGGAGGTGGACCTCTCTACCACATCATGCAGACAACAACAGCCACTGTAGTTTCTGACATGGTGAAGAAGAGACGGCATGATATGACAAATCCTTCAGTTTACAGCCTACATGTCACTTTTTCCCCAGACTAACCTGCTGCTGGATTATTCTAGACTTACTAGTTCTTTGATCCTCTTGCGATGTCTGGTGTGGGGGTTTTTCAGGTGACTAGTCAGATCAAATATGGTCGGGATGGCTGTGTCCTTCAGCACAGTCCTGTAGGGACTCTGATAAACACACACATACACTTAACGTACATTAACTTCTTACAGTCTGAATAATGTCACATTTTAACAGACACTCACAGTTTTGCAAACCATGGCTGGATCAAAATGTTTTGCACATAATCTGTAGTGTTTGTTCAACTGGTCTGAGGTTTTGTCCTCCAGGTCTGCTCTGCGGCAGTTCTCCACCCAGATACGGCATCTACAGAACAACAAATATTACAAATAAAAAATTAATATGATTTTTTTTAAAAAAGGGTGGTAAGAATTTGTTTAATTATATTATTATTTGTTATATTTTTAAATGTAAAATAAAAAGGTCACTGTTTTTTTAGAAGATCATTTCTATCAAATATGCGGTGGCTGTTTTGTCACATGACAGATATTTGTTGTTGTAAGGAAACGAAATTTACTAAAGTTAGTAACTCCCTGATCCGCTCACATTTTAACTAATCCTTCAGATCCGAATGCACTCTATTTTCAGTCTAAGTACGTTGGTCATTTATTGTGGTTGGCAATGCTGTAATCAATATTAACCCTCACATCTCTGAATTCCATAGTTTCAGGTTATTGTACTCGTGATCTACATTTTAGTCCACTCACCTCTGAAGGTAATCCTTGTCAAAATATTTACGTTTGTGTCTCATAATTATAGGTAGTTAGGTCCGATATTATAGTTAACATTTAGACATTGAATTTTTCATCAGGAGTTTGTATAGTAATTGCTATGTTGATAAGTTACGCAGCCTACCTCTCTGGGTCTCGTGGGAAGCGGAAGAAAGCCAGATCCGACTGAGTACTTTTCCTTGTACAGTTCGGTGCAGCGCAAAAATTCGGCATTTCAAATTTTAGGTTTCAATTTTTGAACCTCTATGGTATGCAGCGTTGCTAGCTTAGCGTTGCTAGCTTAGCGTATTCAATATAGCGACAAAGTTGATGACGTCAGCTTCGCCTTTGGCGCCTTTGGCCTGTTGGTTCGTAGCGTTTTAAAGTTAAAATTTCCGACGAAGGTTTACGAAGTTTTACTAACGTTTAAGGTTAAATAAAAAATGTTTATCAGTTTGACGCTAACGGCTCATATCAGAAAAATATGTTTGACTTGTCTAATCCCCGCCTACAAACCGTCTGATAGGACAGATCTAAAGAGAAGACGATTGGTCATCTGTTCTTCTTCACTATTCCTCACAACAAAGGCAATTGATTTTCTGGGAAGATATCGAGTAAACGGAGAATGACTAATGGCCCAAAGTCAATAGACTAAATCATCAACATCTATACAACGGGACTAATGGCCCAAAGTCAATAGACTAATTCATTAACATCTATACAACATATATATATATCATAATATATCATATCAATAGTTATAATCCCGTTGTTAACTCATCGGCTCGTTGGTCTAGGGGTATGATTCTCGCTTAGGGTGCGAGAGGTCCCGGGTTCAAATCCCGGACGAGCCCACTTTTTTTTTTAACGCAAGTTACTATTTTTTTTATTATAACAATTCACTATAGAATGTTACTCACTTAAAATGATCGCAAATCAAGAGTGTAGAAATAAACTTAATACGAGGGTTGAGTGTTAAATCTAATTAGAAAATTATCTGGATAATTCTGAATATGACAATCTTCTGTGACAATTAGAAAAAAAAAGTATAATACGTAAAACGTTTTATATTATTTAAATTCTTAAATTTATAAACGTTTGGTATTTTTAATGGGGGTGAAATATATGTATTGTAATGTGTTTTTCTTTTTTAAATATTCACTTACCAATTTTTTGTTATACAGAAATACCTCAAGCTCCCCTGCAGGGAGAGCAATTAACACAGTTTTAATGCCCAGCTTCATGAGGTTTATTTATTTATTTATTTTTTACCTCGTTCACCATTTGAACATGAAGATGAAACCAAACCCAGGCAATGATTTTGCTAGGCATTAAAACACACATACACCTGGTACCACGCTGAAAGTAAGAGAGCGATAAAAATTAAATGTGCTAAATGTGTTATGTAAATATCTTGGTGTATTCGATGTAACATTCTCAATAAAATTCTGGTGTGGACAGATTTACATAGAAATTTCCTGAATTAGATATGTTTTACTAGATTTGCCCTTATATATATATGCATTTCTACATTTAAAAAAAAAAGTACAAGAGCCACAAGCTATACTGTCCGTGAAAAGGAATGGAGGGCTCGTCCGGGATTTGAACCCGGGACCTCTCGCACCCGAAGCGAGAATCATACCCCTAGACCAACGAGCCAGGTCGCCTAATACCCGGTACAATGTAATTATATAACTATCATACAGAGTGATCGTAACCCGCCCGCAAACTCAATCAAAACTATCTACAAGACCTGAACTAATTTCTACCGAATGTTGGCTATTTGGGCCAGGTTCAACCAACTGTTTTATAATGGGTCCCTCTAACGCAGCTTGGTTACGCTGAAGATATTAGGACTTCTTTCTAAACTTCATACTGAATTCCCTGGTTATTATATTTGTACCCAAAATGTAAAAAAACAACAACATTGTAGTAGATTTTTTTACTAGCTTTTCATGCATAGATTAGACCTTGATAGCCATTGTTAGATTTACAGATTTATACTTTATTGTATTTTAATAAATTCAGAGTAAACATTGAACTTCAGGTTGGTGATGTGAGGGTGTCTGCAGTCATGAAGAATAAAGACAACAGAGGCAGAGAACACTTCAATTAACTTCTTTTTATATATCATACATAAGACTGTCTTAATATAATACAAAGGGCATTGTCATAAACACAGCAAAGTCTTGACTAGATCTTACAATCTGTGGATACATGGACTGATCCTTTTCCCCCATGCTCTTCAATTCTATAGTGCATGTTGCATGTACAAAAAAACGTGGAAAAATGTGAAAAAAAATAGATATCAAAATAATAAAAAACAAAATCAAAATTAAATTAGGATTTTGGACATCGGTTGTCAGGAAATGTCAACAAGTCTACATAATATTCCTGTTTGTGATTAAACCCACAAACTTAACAGGCCTATGATGATGGAAATTTTCAAAACATTTTTTTTTTAATTTTCAACCATGTGCTTCTCATAGAACCAAAAATGTAAGGTTTCTGTGATGTACATGCACTTACAATATACCCTGTGAAAATTATTAAGGTTTGAAGAACTAGCTTTTCCCTGTTTGATTCAAACCCTACCTCATAGTGTCGTTGTCCTGATGATGTAGTCAAGTTCAAACCTTTCACCCACAAAAATAAGAGAAAACAAAAATCAGGCAAAAGGTGTTTTTTGTTGTTTCTTTTGAAATCACCACTAAGAAAACAGGAGTTTCCTGCCCACTGAATGGTTGGTCGGTCACCAATTTTTTGGACAAACATAATCAACATACCAGCAGGAGCAAGGTAGTGAGTTCTATACTTCCTTTATTAAAAAAATATAAATATATACATAAATTCTATTTCAACTATTAAAAAGGGGCTGCATTTCATGACAACTGCTCTAAAGAAGAAGAAGAGGTCAATCAGCATGAGTTTGGACATAGGCGCACACTTACGAGTCACTGCAGTCAATGTTTTTTTTTTTTTTTGTCTCTTTTTCAGTCTTTATTTTTGGAATGTTTAGTAACCGGTATGAAAAAAAAACTCCAGCCTGTTTCTCTAAAATTTCTCAATTTTTTTTCAAGAATATGAAAGAAACCTTTTAAAAAATTCTGTTCTCTTAACCTTGACATCTAGATAAAACTCCAATCTCACTATAGGTAGCTTTAACATTTTTGTGGAAATCATACCAAGCTTAACAAAATGATGTCAGCTAGCGACACCCGGTGGCTGTGGGCAGTTTTTTAAGGTTTTTGTCTAATTTTAAAAAGTTGATAAAAATTAGCAAAAATGAAAACACTTCAAACTCCCAGAAATCAAAGAAAAAAAAATTACTGAAGCATGTGAGCACGGCTGATGAATACACCCCGCCCCCTTTCCTCAGAGACAACGATGATCCAAGGAATTTTCTTCTAAGTCAGGACCGAGTCTTTACACGTTTACATTTGCCCTGCAATCCCTTTTAGGGCTGTCACTTTTAGTCCAAATTGTATATTTCTGTTCATTGATAATGGATAGAAAAGTCAAAAAAGTTACAAGTCAAAACACCCCAGCAGATGGCACACTTGACCATAAGTAGACTGAACTCTTTTAAATTATGATTATTGAATCTTTCTAGGCAGAAACATGTGGACCGAAAAACAATACAATCAAATGTTGCCACTCAGCTTCTGTCCCCGCCCCCTCATTACCCACATATTTTAGTGTAGCCTTAAGGCTGACAATAAAAACTACAAACAGCAGAACTTTATGAAATAAGCATGAGATAAATTTAGGGGAAATTTTATGGAAAACTAGCTAAAGGCCATTTTCAAGGCAGCCCCTGCTGGTCAAAAATAGTACCACTTTTTCTTAAAATGGGTAAAAGTCAATGCAATATCATTTAATCCACATTAAGACAAATGTCAATATATTTCACCTTTAAGGGACGTTTCTGACACAGCTGTTATGCTGATTGACAGACACAGTACAGCAAGCATGTATTTACTAAAGGTTTCTAAAGTAGACAGTGATTGATAGTTGTTCGCAACTCATGTTTCTGCAAATGTTACAGCGCCACATCATGTGTGCCCTGATGTACAAATTTCCATCAACAAAAAAGGGAGGTTATTTCTTCACATTTTAATTTAACTTTTTTTTTTAATAGAAAAAAAAATTCAAATTCAAATTTAGGTACTGAAGTATTCAGCTCTGATGATGCAGCACATTTTGTCTAACCACAGGAGAACAGAGGAGTTGCACTGATGCTCATTTTTCAAACTAGTTCTGGTTGCCGGCACAAACAGTTTTCTAGAAAAGTTCTCACAAGGGTAATTTGTTCTTAAATTTGAGCACAGTACTGATTTACGATGGCAACACAAGTCAATTAATGACAATGTCGTTCTTCTGAGCACAGAACCAATTTGTTTTTAATATGGTTCTGGATACTGTTCAGACACACAGGTCTGGTCAGAGAGCTAAAAAAGGTCTACACTGTTGAAATATAATAAAGCTCTGCTCCAGTAGCTGAACATTTCTCAAACAAATCAGAGAACTGACTGGCAGAATATTTTCAAAACTTTCAGATTTTTTCCCCTCCAAAGTGAACATTTTGTGGCAAACGAAATCAAACCAAGGTACATGAGGGAAGCACAACTCCCCTGGACACCACAATCAGGTAGTAAAAGCACCCTTATAGGGCTATAATTTTATAGTATGGGCTGGAAGGTGAACACACTTGAAAACTTTGATTGAGCTCAGTCTGGACCGATGGATGCAGCACAGATTAAGCTGCTGCAGAGAGTGCATGAGCATTACTAACAGACAAAGTTCTCTCTGAATACTGCACAGGTCAGAACCACAGCTGGAGACAGGAAGAAACTACACTGATGTTGAGCTTCTCCACAAACTCTGTTTCTGGAACAGATCCAGTCTAGACTGCACCATGTGGTAAACTCCATTTTATCTCTTGACTGGAACACATCTGGTTTAATAACTAGACTAGTTTGGTGTAGGAGTAGAACTAATCTGGTTCTCAGTAGAGATCAGGGAGAGAACCTGACACACTGATACCCAATATCAGTCAAGCCTTTTGTACATCACATAGAAACTGGATCAAAATGAGTCTTTTTAATTGAAGATTATCTTTAGAACAGAGACGGAACACTTCTGCCAGACGGGGAAAACAGGAAGTGGCACTACACAGTTGAAGAAGTAATTTTATATTTTGGTTCAGACGCGTTACTGATACTGTTTATGTCTGAGCATCTTCTCACATCAAGACAAATCTGTTTCAACTTTTTGTCTTTCACACAAGGACAGATAGCTCTGTTCACTTCAACCTTTTGTTCTCCATAGAACCAGATTTCTGGCACAAATCTACAGGTGACGTGTTTAATTATATAACAACACATCCTTTGATTTTTGTTAAAAAGTGACAGCCCTAATTCTAACAATGACCTTATCTCAGTTTCATATTTCCAGAAAAAGTAGACAAGTTGACTTAAGGATGTATGAAAGGCAGCAAAACCCTTTGAAATAGTATGGTGGGGCCAAAAAAACAGAAAAAAAAGAGAAAAAAAAAAGAGAGAGAGAAACAAAACAAACAAAAAACCCAACAACAACAAAGAATAAGAACCAATTT